CCCCCCCCCTCCCAAATCGATGCCATTCATATCATTTAGAAGCCCTTCAGACTCGGCATGTCAGGGGTCAACCCTGGCTGAGAGGGGAAATAAAATCCCTGCAGAAAGACCGAGATACTTGATAAACATGATCCCCACTCTGAAATCGAACACAGACCTACTGAGCGCGACCAACAGTTAGGCTATATCTCTGACGTTTGTATTTATATAATAGTATTCATCATTCTAGGTAGCCAAATTATGCTGTAAAGGGGTGTATACTATCAAAACTCAAAATTTAGCTCATGCTGTTGTTCGTTGCTAAAACAATTTGAGCACTAATCAGTCGGGTTTTTAAAAAAAATGTTCTGGGCCAAACAAGTAAACATTTGAATTAGATTTATTCCATAAGTGTTTTACGGAACTTGCAACATACATGTACTTGGGCCACATAAGTGCCGAAGTTTAGATGTATTGGTTTAGAGTAACATAAAAAGAAAAGAGGGAGGAAAGATAAGGCACTAAATGTTTGACAGGAAAGAAGGAGCAAACCACACCAGAGCGCCTGCAAACCACCCATAAAGCAGACCTGATGAGGCAAACTGTTCACTATTGCTTCCCCTGCTTCTACTTTCTCTCTAATTTTTCCTTGATTTAAAAAACAGCCACAAGAGCCACTGTGTGGGTACAGAAAGGTACCTTGAAAAAGGAAAAGGAATAATAATTTAGAAGACACGTCATGTTGTGTTGTGTTTAAGTAATGAATATTATTTCATGTATTAATAATCTTATCTGAAACAGCTTCCTTCGCTTTGACTTTTCTACTCTGTCTTTTGTTCGTACTCTATGCCTATATCAAGAATACAGTACTGTAGGCCTACATCGTTTGTTTGTTTTATTTTAGCGTGCTCTTTTTTCCCCCGCGTTTAGCCAATTTAGTTTTTGTTGAACATTCTGAAATCGAGATCTGAGTCGCCCTCATGTGTTCCAATGCAATAGCACCCCTTCTAACACCTTGCCGATGACTTGAATTCGCGAATTCCTTTTACAAATCGCTGTAATCGGGATTCCAAGCGCGCGGGGGTGGGGGGTAGGGGAAAAAGAAATGTGAAGCGTGCTGACAAAATGAGTTACTTCTCGGATTCGAGCCCAATGGAAATAGATACATCACGCTTATAGGTGGAGTTTTTACAATTTCTGAGTTTGGAATAATAAAAGGCAAGATATACTTAAAGAACATGGCATCAATAGAAAATCTACAAGTTTGACCCTTGCGTCGATATTTGGCCACTATCTCCATTTGTAGATTGCAAGAAGTAACTTAATTAGTCAGCATGCATCACAAATATCGAAGTACTTGCTACTCTTTCATGATTCCCTTTTTTTTCAAATTCAACGCTGTCTTCTCACAGTCCAATCACATTAAATCTACATGTCACTGCCCACTCACGGACAAATCACAGTACACCTTTATACCATTGACTTCTCACTGGCCGATCATATTTCACCTACAGTATATTATTATACTGCTGTCCTCTCATGAGCCAATCACACAATACTTACATCGATGTCTTCTGATGGGCCAATCATCAAATTTTACCTGTATACCGCTGTTCTCTGACGAACCAATCATCTCTTTTCACCTACATACCGCTGTCCTCTGACAAACCAATCATCACATTTCACCTTATTCTGCTGTCCTCTGACGAGCCAACCACATTCCACCTATCCACGACTACCCTCTCACTCACCAATCACATTTCACGTACATTATTTAACCGTTGTCCTCTCCTGGGCCAATCACACAAAACTTACACCACTTTCCTCTGACGAACCATTCATCACATTTCACCTTTTTATCGCTGTCCTGTGGTGGGCCAATCAAATTCCACCGTTGTCCTTTCACGGGCCAGTGACAGTATACCAAGTTAAATAATTCTACCCCAAAGGCCGACACTTGCTTCACTTAGAAGCCTCCTTAATATCTTCGACCAGGATTATCTTTATAATGATATGGTATTTTTGACATAATATCTTTTGCAGTTATGAGTTAATATAAAAACATCGTTTCACAGAGAGATTCCGATGGAAATTCGGATCAGTTTACGAGAGATAAAATAACAATTGTGTCACTAACCGGCAAATAATAGATTACGTATAGTTTATTCTAGACAGTTTCCTCTAAACTCGGTCAAGATTCTTTCCTCCACTATGATAGGTCTAAATGTTTATATTTCAAAACAAACATCTAAAGACTTTATAGTGAAAACAGTCCTCTCAGAAGTTTATGATATGCTCATTTGTGAGGCAGCGTGGTGAAATCAGGCTCTCGTCAATTTTTGGGCATATTGAGTTATTGGTATCATCTTACAGCTTGTTCATTTGTCTTGCTTTCAACGAAAAGTTTACCCATCCATCTTCAATAGAAGTGGAGATATTTTGGATAGAAGGAGGTGGGGGTCACCTGATGAGGTAAAATTAGGGAGAAAATGGCCGCCAAAGCTTGGTAAATTCCAAAGCTAGAGAGTCCATGGAAACTGTAAATTTATATTGTTGTGCCTTTAATCAAAGTTTTCGGTGAAATCCTCAAAGGAATGTGTTTGTAAATGGACATAAAAGGTGTTGAGACAAAAAACAAAAATTTGATAAAAATTGCTAAGCAGGGAGAAAACTGATGTTTTCGATTTATTATTTTGACGAGAGCCTGATTCCACAACACTGCCTCACATTTGCTTTGACAAGTCAAATAATTGGTGAAACTTTAACCTGTGTATACGTCTATCATTACTGTTAGGAACAAGTACATGTAAGTTGTTTGACAACCTAAACGCACTCCGCTTTTGACAGTTACACATACATCTATTAACACATTATCTGTCCACGCGGTTTTATGCACCCCCAATAATTTAGCATAATTTGATCATTTTTTGCCAAATTTCAGATTATTTTCCTTTATCATTCTTTGTTAAAATTAACAGAATTGCATAATTTCACACTTTTGGGCCCAGTTTGCATAATTTCAGAATTTTTCTTGCATAAAACAACGGGGACAGCATTAAGCAGATAGCTTCATAATATTATGGTCATAGTCAACATCAATGATAATTCACTAGCGGCAAATGAAAGCTTCTCAGAACATTTAACCGACTAAAGATTTACTTTGGTAATTACCGCTTTCTGTAGTGGCTTCACATTTTAGGCATTTTCCAAGTAGGCGTACGAGAGGTATCTAAAACCAAGGTCGAGCAGAATAGCTCTAGTGTTTGAGAGTACACCAGGTTTGTGTAAAATGCAACAACTATAAGTTACTTCTATATATGGTAGATTTATTCCACATCAGAAAAGAAAATGAGGTTTGGGAGGAGGGCCGTGGGGAGGGGGGGGGGTGAGACTGTGGAATGCAGTTGTTGTAATTTTAGCAGGCTAAACTTTAACTCCTTTCGGACCTTCACCTTCACTTCCCTCTCTCATAGTGTGGCTGACCGTGGGGGCACCACTGTAGATTTTGCAACAAACTTCTCCAATTCCTCTCGGTTCTCATTTTTCACGGACAGAACACTCTTTGATCCCTTCGGCTATGTATTCTCATATCACTCATCATTATCACAATCAAAGTTAACAACAACGATGGTGGTACGTGTAGTCATGTAGTAGCAGCAACTATAAATAAATACACAATACTATGAAATATGAAAACGACAGTGCCAATCCAAACATAAGTGAAGTAATTAACTACCGGTTCTAAGGTTTAAAATGCTGTCCCCCTGGTTTTATGCACCCCGCATAATTTTAGCAAAATTTGATCATTTTTTTGCATAATTTCTGATTATTTTCCTTTACCATTCTTTGTATATATAATTTTTTTAAAACCCAGAATCGCATAATTTCACATTTTTGGGGGCTCAGTTTGCATAGTTTCAGAATTTTTCTTGCATAAAACGACGGGGACAGATTAATAATGTAGCTGATATACTTCCTTCTGTCAACAGATTGACAAGCTGTGGAGCTGCCCCAGAGAACCGCTGACGTGTCTGGCTGGAAAACCAATCGAAACATGTTCCAGTGACGACTCGTGCCCGCCAGGGGGCCAGTGCTGCTACCGCGGCTGTATCAAAACCTGCATGTTCCCCCGTCCTTGTGATCGAGTGGTGAGTTTCCTTGATTCTTCCTCTTGTTCTTGTTCTTCTTACCCTTTTCACCAGTTAGGCGTAGCTTCTAAGCAATAACAAAAAAACCCTCCCAAAACGGCTCCTCTGTGTATAACATGCAAGTGCTCTAAACGACAGAAATCAGCATTCGTTTGTTCGGTTGTTTAGCATAGCGTATTAGTATTAGTTGCAGAAATCAGGCTTTTTTCATCATGGGTGTTTTCATGACCCCGCAGATAAAGTTTAGATAATTGAAAATGTATAAAGCTGGCTACAAGTGTGTGTGTGTGTTTGTGTGTGTGTGTGTGTGTGTGTGTGTGTATGTGTGTGTGTGTGTGTGTGTGTGTGTGTGTGTGTGTGTGTGTGTTGTCAGTCCTGTGACATAAAGGCTGAATAAATACAAAAGATGTCACTGGTGTAGCCTTTTATGCCAATGAGAAATGACCTCTCTCTCTCGGTGCAAACCTTACTTAAAGCTAAAAATAGACACCGAATCCATTAGCCAAAAATAACGACGACAACGCAGATAGCAAAGACAATCAATCACAACCACCACCAAATACCACTATCATCATTACCATTGCGGAAAATAACATTTCATAATAACAATAACGAAAACCACCACCACCACAACAACAGCACTTAAAACATTAATACTGACATTAACAACAGCTTTCATTGCTCACCGCTATTTTAAAAAAAATAGTTTTAGTAAGTGTTTTACGGCACTTGCAACACAATAAGGTCATATAAGTGCCGAAGACTAGAGGCGTTACAAGTGAGTAACAAACACAAAAAAGGAGGAGGGGAGATAAAGACGACAGATGTTTGATAGGAAAGAAGGAGCAAACCACACCAGAGCATCCACCAACCACCCACCCTCACCGCTATAAATTTTGCATACTATATAAAATATACTATAAGATAATATGCAAAGAAGAGAACATATTTTTAATAAATCTGTCCCCGTGGTTTTATGCACTCCGCATAATTTAGCAAAATTTGATCATTTTTTGCATAATTTCTGATAATATTCCTTTACCATTCTTTCTTAAAATTAACAGAATCGCATAATTTAACATTTTTGGGCTTAGTTTAAATAATTTCAGAATTATGTTTTTTGTATAAAACGACTGGGACAGATACATTGTATTGTAAGTAAATGAGTGAAATATTTCCGCAGGTGTGTGGAGAGGGCTATTCCTGCAAAGAAGAAGAGACAGTGTGTCCCAACCCACCATGCGCTCTACAGGCAAACTGTATTCCTGAGAGTAAGTTTCTGAAGGAAAGACGTGTGCTGGGGTGTTTCAGCAGCAGATACTGACGTGTCTTGTTTTCAATGCTGTATATAATTGATGAAAGGCTGAGAAAATTCTTCCTTATGTGGTCGAACTGGTTTTCTTGTTTTCATGAAATATTTTTTTCTTTTGTGTGAGAGTGAGTGGTTTAAGTCAGTGATCATGCCATTGATGTACGCTCAGAGCTTACGAATACAATCTATGGTGATGATGATGGTGACGATGATGAAGGAGATGATGATTATGATGATGATGAGGAGGAGGAGGAGGAGCGGGGAGGAGGAGGAGCGGGGCGGAGGAGGAGGAGGAGGAGGAGGATGATGATGATGGTGATGATGATGATGATGATGATGATGATGATGATGATGATGATGATGATGATGATCGTTATTATTATTGTTGCCAAACATGAACCACGAACAAGACATTAGAGTTAGAGCAAAGAAAGACAACATGTGAAATGCGATGCCTTAGAAACGCAGTAAACAAGACCAGGCGAGACAAAATCAGAAACTTAGTACATGTAATCAGAGAAATGGTGGGCTCAAATGATGTCAATCCTCACATACAACACCAAAGAATCAAATGGTTTGGACATCTCATACGATTACCAACACACCATCCTGCACAACGTGCCTACATAAAAAAATCGAAGGCAACAAGGCTAGAGGGCGACTGAAAAAGACCGGGATAGATGAAGTCAGGGAAACACTAACTACCCACCACATCCCCCTGTCCCGAGCTTTCCGGCTGGCGACAGAGACACGTCTCTTTCTTCCCGCGACACCCAAACGGGTATAAGCGGGGGATAAAGGTAAAAGTAAAAAAAGTGAAGTTATTGTTTTATTATTATTATTATTATTATTATTATTATTATTATTATTATTATTATTATTATTATTTATTATTATTATTATTATTTATTATTATTATTATTATTTATTATTATTATTATTATTATATTATTATTATTATTATTATTATTATTATTATTATTATTAGGCCTATTATTATTATTGTTATTAATATTATTATTATTATTAATATGATTATTGTTGTTGTTCTTGTCATTATTATATCATTCTCTCTACGTACAGAGAAAGTGCGATGTCCGGCCCTCAAATGTCCCTCCAAGTACTGTCCACCTGGCTTCAAGAGAGCTACGAACCCCAAGGGCTGCGACGTCTGTAACTGTGTGCCCAAGAAATGTGAGATAACTTTTCGTGATATTGGTCTCTCTTTTGCCCCTTCTGTTCATATGTAGACCTGCCTTCCCCCCCCCCCCCTTTTTTTCACACCATACGTGCGGCATCTGCCTGCCTGTGTATCTGTCTCTGGCAGTTACTGTACTCTTGCTAACTTACCCTTCCTTTCTTCATTGAGACGATAAATGACATCAATAAACCAAACTGGCCTGTTTGAACGTTCTTTAAATTATATTTTTGGATAACCAGTAGGCCCATCATCTATTTAGTTTGAGTACGTATCCCCAACAATTAATTTACTCTTCCCACTTCACTCCTTCTGAACACTTTTGAGTATATCCATATCCCTCACTAATCAACTCGTGATTACAAATTGGCAATTTCACAAGAAAGATAAATCATGATCTCCTACCATAACTCATGTAATGTAATAAATTCTTTATATTATATTTTTTTTCCCAAACCTCCGATGACATCAACTCATCCGTAGTCGGCTGTAATTACCAAATTAATCACCTAGTCCCCTTTTACAGGAATCTCGTGCAGGCTACAAGTGCACGTATTGATATTATACTACCAACACCAATTTATATATGTATTTATTATCATGTATGCGCCATTGAGAATAACTTTGAATAAGATTGGTCTATCTCCAATTTTGGTTGAATTTGAGAGATCGTTAAGCTTGGGAAAAAAAAGCCTGCCACACCTCTTGGTCAAATGAAGGTCTAACTCACGGTGCTCTTGTTAGTGAAACCAAATATTGTACAGAATCTTTGGTGAAACATAATTTATTATACAAGTATCGATTTTCGATTATTCTCGGAAGGGAAAATCCATTTGTTTTTCTAAAAATAACCTAAAATGGCGTTGGATCACGTTCAGTCTCATTATACCTTATTGTACTGTCCCCGTCGTTTTAAGCAAGATAAATTCTGTAATTATGCAAATTGAGCCCACAAATGTGAAATTGTATGATTCTGATAATTTTAACAAAGAGTGATAAAGGAAAATAATCAGAAATTAATTAAATTACAGTGGAAACCTGATATAACAGGGATGGTGGGAGTAGATTTAAAAAAGTCCTGTTATATCCGATCCCTGTTAAATCAGACATGCAAGGAAAGTAAGCATTTGTGGACTAATTCAGCTGTACTTATTCATGGGTAGTTTCCCTTGCCACAAGTACCCACGAACAGAGGTTTTGGCACCACATTTCTCCTTGCCTCCTTAAACAACACCAGAAGAGCTTGGTCCACAGCATCTGCATCGGGTAGTCTCATCTTCTTTCGATCCGGAGCAAAGTTTCCATTGGAATTGGAGTATGGTGCCACTATCTTCTCTCTATCCTCGATAGTGGTGTGAATCGACCCTTGTGGAATGTCGAACTGACGACAAATCTCTACCAGTGAAGCTTGCTTTTGGTCAACAGCCTGGGTTATTTCGTATATTTTGTCAATTGAAAGGCATTTTCTCTTGCGCTTAACGTCGTTGGTGGCCATAATGAAAAAAGTAGGCTTAGATCTACACATCTCTCTCTGTCTCTCCCTCTCTCTCTTTTACTTTTTACTCATTGTTAACGAGCCTTTGTCCCTGCAATAACCGGTTGGGCTCCGATGAGGCCCTGTTATTTCCGATAACTTTTAATAGAGACAAAGAGTAGGAAAAAACGGGGATTTTAAAAATCCCTGTTATTAACGGGCCTGTTATATATGGTTTCCATTGTATGCAAAAAATGATGACGGGTGCATAAAACCGCGAGGGCAGATTGTAATACATGTTGCTGTTGTCAAGTTGTTGGACTGTTTTATTCAATCTTTGACTTCAACGTCCCCAGCCTGTGGACCAACCTGTGACATCTTTTGCGCCTACGGCAATGTCATGGTTGATGGATGCCCGACCTGTAAGTGCAACCCCGAACCTCAACACCCGTGTTCTCAACTTGTGAGTACCGCTTGGTACATGTATAGGTTCAAAATCCTCGTGAGTACCACTTGGTATAATAAGTAATAAGCTTAGGTTCCACCCGCGTGCGCTCAACTTGTGAGTACCACTTGGACTTGGAGTGGGTTTTACACCCGTGCTCTCAACTCGTGAGTAGGCTATCATTTCGTAAGGGTTTCAAAACCCGTGCCCTCAACTTGTTTGAACTACATGGTATGGATTCAAAACCGGTGCTCTTAACTTGTGTGAACTACAGTGGAAACCATAATATATAACAGGCCCGGTAATAACAGGGATCCGGTAATTACAGGAATTTTTTAAATCCCCGTCTTTTCCCACTCTTTGTTTCTATTAAAAATTATTGGCAATAACAGGGCCCCATCGGAGCCCAGTCGGTTATAATAGCAGGGACAAAGTCTCGTTAACAATGTGTAAAAAGTAAGAGAGAGAGAAAGAGTAACGCAGTGATGGAGCAAGCACACGCAGAGGGTGAAAAGAGAGAGAGAGAGAGAGAGAGAGAGAGAGAGAGAGAGAGAGAGAGAGAGACAGAGAGAGAGCTGCGGTGTGCAGCAGACCTCGTCGATCTATCCCTACCTTGCTACACGCACGCGTAATGTGTCATGCGCAGGCCTGCCACATGGCCACGTGAGAGGGTTGCAGTGTGCAAGGGAAACTACCCATGAATAAAAATAGCTGGATTAGTCCACAAATGCATACTTCCCTTGCATTTCTGATTTAACAGGGATCTGATATAACAGGACTTCTTCTCTGGTCCCACCATCTCTTTTATATCAGGTTTCCACTGTACTTGGTACATGCATGGGTTCAAAACCTGTGCTTTCAACTCGTGAGTACAGCCTGGTAAAGGCTCAACACCCGTGCTCTCAACTCGTGAGTGCATCTTGACATTGGTTCAACTTTAACACCTCTCAGAAAGCCAGAACATTATAATTATATAACTTTTTGTGGGGTGGGGGGAGGGGCCTATAGACTTGAACTGCAATATCCTTGATGGTGGACTCTGATATAGTACCATCTGTACACGACTATATATATCATAACATATATTATACTGCACAATTTGACGACAATGACTCTAACTTTAACCCAAAGAGGTGATAAAAGTACATGTACATGTATTTATAACACATCTCTGCTCTAAACGTATGATGTAACACATCATGTCTCCAACAGACGTGCCCGTCAGGACAAGAGTGTCGTCTGATACATGAGGAGTGTACAAGCTACCCTTGCTTCCCGAGATCACAGTGTGTACCCAGTGAGTGTGAACAATAATGAATGATAGTACTATTAGTACATGTATACATGACATGTTCCCCCCGGGGCAGTGCCACTGACTGTAGTGTCTTTAGGTCAATCCCAAAGGGGGGACATTTCTGTTTCAAGCACAGTAGAATTGTAAATGGACTGATTCATGTCACGCTCTTGAGTCATAACTGTGCCTGATCTATAACAACAGGGAACGGCAGCTTTTTCTTTCCTAATCCTTACTGTTGTCATTTTCCTCTACTTCTTTTGAATGTTTGTCCCACTCTTGTGACCTGCTATTTCCGGGGTGCCTTGATAGTTGAAGCAGACCTTGTGCTGTTGAAGCTAGAGAGGTGAGCAGAGTAAGTCTGATTCCCTGTAAAGACTTCTCTGTTGACACCCACCCCTTGGCGCTCATATGACATTATGCAGTTGGGAGCGCCGTAACACCCTATACCATAATAATAAAAAAAATACATGACATGTGCATTAAAAGTTGATTGGCTATCTTATCAAAGACTTCCTCTATAAAATTTATCTCTTGCGTTTATGGATCTCTATTGGTTCAAGCTCTGGACACAGGAAGAGATTTGACATCGAAATTGTTCATTCCGGGTAAAGAGCATTTCGACTTCTCATTCGAAGAAAGAGGGTGGTGGGGTGGGTGGGGGTGGAGGAGGAAGAAAAAGGGGGGGAGAGAGATAGAGACAGAGAGAGAGAGAGAGAGAGAGAGTGAGAGAGAGAGAGATAGAGAGTGAGATGCACCGGTAGTGCACGTGCAAAGGACCTTTTCTTTGACTACTTGTCTTCCATAACATTCAAAAGGCAAAACTAACTAGTAACATCATGTCATGTATTAATATTTTGGGTGACCTTATTTGGGCCACAGTGTGGCCTAAATAAGCTAAACCCCCCTCCCTTACCTTATTTAGGCCACACTGTGGCCCAAATAAGCTAAACCCCCCTCCCTTACCTTATTTAGGCCACATCATATGGTAGATTTCTTGAACTAACCATGGATTCGGAAGGTCGAGATTCTACTGATCTTTTTATTTAGTGCGGGGGATTATTTCAAAATAGAGGATGATTCTAAATAAGTGGACCAAGTGTAAGAGTTGTGTGTGTGTGTGTGTATGTGTTTGTTTTGTGTGTGGTTGTGGTGAGAGAGAGAGAGAGAGATCTAGAGAGAGAGAGAGTAAATGTAGTAGTGTGTTTGTATGTGTGTAATGTGTGAATGTTATTGTGTGCATGAGTGTCTATCTCAGTTGTACGGTCCAAATGTACATTATTTTGTTGAGAATTTTACATAGAACTCAACTACAAAACACCTTTATACAAAGTCACAGAAATATTCTTTTTGTGCTTATTGAGGTGCAGTACAGGGTGATTAAAACCTGCAAGGATAATTGGACAAAATGGGCAATATCTTACTAATGCCAATAATAATGGTCATATTTAGACAAATCCTATATCATTCTCTTTTTTTCTTAACAGCTCATGGTTATTAAAGAGTCAGCAAACTAGATCAAGGTAGTAATTTCGGATTCCTAATATTATGGGCATTCTTTAAAAAATTTAAACTTGTTTTTAGCGCTTTTTTCAACGTAAAACGGATTCCGTTAAAAAAACAACAACAACAATGACCTTATCTTTCTTTTTTAAGGTATTGTGCATACATTTGTGTGAAACTATTTTATTCTATGCTTTCAAGTACATGAAAAAAGCTAATAAAATCAAGCAAAATGTTTTTCAGAGACATAGATCTAGTAGTAAGCCCACTGGAACATTTTATAAACCGTGAAAAGATCACCAGAAAATAACAAAATTATCTTATGATTTTCACTTGCACTTGCAATTTTTTTGACAAATTATCGTCTACCTCGTTATCTTTTTTTTTTCACATTTTTCTTCACTATTCATGACAACTGGCATGTTTTCCAGTTATTATCAAGGAAGTGGATAGGCGGACCACGGGGTCTATCTAGCCCCAAAAGGATAGGTGGACCGCGGGGTCTACCTAACAAAATGCTGTTTTAGGATGTGAACCCTGGAATCAGCGTAGTGAAATAAGTAGATCTAGGTTTGACTAAGGATCGGTGGACCCCGGGGTCAACATAGTGAAATAAGTAGATCTCAGTTTATTTTATAGTAAGACTGGCGGAGCCCGTGGTCAACGTAGTGAAATTATAAGTAGATCTAGGTTTAAATTAATAAGGATTGGTGGACCCCTGGGTCAACGTAGTGAAATTATAAGTAGATCTAGGTTTAATTAAGGTTTGGTGGACCCTGGGGTCAACGTAGTGAAATAAGTACATGTAGATCTAGGTTTAATTTTAAGGATTGGTGGACCCAGGAGTCGACGTAGTGAAATAGGAAGGTTTAGGTTTAAGGTGGACCCCAGGGTCTACCTAACGAAATTTAATACTAGTTAGGTTTTAGAATAGGTGGACCATGCGGTCACCGTAGTAAAATAAGTAGGTTTAATCACGGTGTCCCGGGGGTCCACCAATTCTTAATTAAACCTTCTTATTCCTCTACGGCTATGGTGACTCCGGGGTCCACCAATCCTTTTAAAATTAAACCTACTTATTTCACTACGGTGACCCCGGGGTCTACTAATCTTTAAATAAATCTACTTACATGTATTTCACTACGGTGACCCCGGGGTCCACCTGTCCTAAAACCTAGTATTTTGCTAGGTAGACCCCGTTTTTAACAATATCCAGAAAATAACATAAAATGAGTATATAGATCTATATCTATACGCATTTTATTAAGTATATACTTAAAAATAAAAGACTGAGCAGAGCCTCACAATGTAAATTCTGTGCTCTACACGTAGAGAAAGTCTTAAGTTTGCGCAAAACAGATTTTAGAAAAAAAAGTTGATCTAATTATTCTAATAAAAGTAAAAGTGATTGTTATGGTGAGATTTGTTATTATTAATTCTGGAAATACAGATAGTTGCTGAATCTAAAATTAACTAGAACTGTGCAATTCGTTTTATTTCAATTCCAAAGCCCAAAGGCATAGCAATGAGTTAGATCTAGATCTAGCAGTTGTAGGCTCTCTGGCTGCTTCTAACATTTGTCTGCTACTACTGATTCTAGACAGGGAATCTAGATCTAGATCTAGCTATCACCTGCACTATTAAAGTCAAATATATGGTAAAATAAAAACAAAACTGTGAATCGCTTTGTCAGTCAGTACATCCCAATTGCCATAGCAGCACGTATTAATAGTTGAATAATTATACCGAAGCAACATGTTATCACAGTGTGCAGGGGAGAGCGGGGGGCCCGGGTCGCTGACCGGTCGATTCGGTGGTTCGGCTTTTGTAGATCTATGCATTTTTTACGGAAAGCCCTATTACTAGATCTATTAGTGTTGTGAAAACTTCAACCTCTACAGCTAAGGCGGCAAAAGATGTTGGAAAATAATAATACGTCCTGAAGTTTTATAATTTATACAGAATAATACAGCCAGTAGTTTTTATCTCATCGAGTTATAAAAATGGCCTTGTAACTTGTTTTCAGAAGCAAATTTTAATAGTTACAGTTCTACCGAATCGATTTTCACGCAAATTCAACCATTTTGATGACCATTTCTTTTCCTTTTAAAAAGATAAAGGCCTGTCGGATGTGGCAGTGCGATTAACACTAAGTTGTTTAGACCCATCAAAACACAAGGCTTCGTGGCCGATCACAAAGGTCTACGGGGCTTATCGAGGCCGATTCGCCCTGCCGCGTGCACGTTCACTAAACTGCCTACTAGATAGAATCTACTACCAAAGATTCTTCTCGATCTTTGCTACTACTACTACTACATCTACATGTAGGCTACTACTACTAGACAGTACAAGAGATGTACTACTACGAGACAGTACGAGAGAGTGCCACCCAGGCAAAGATAGTGTAACTTTGACTCAGCCACGTTGTGTACACACTTTTTATACCCCAAATTTGACCCGGAAGTCCATTCGGAGGATTTGACCTTTTTACTTGACCAAAGTGTGCCAAAATGGTAGCCTAGATTTTGCCCCTCCATGAAGGAAAAATCTGGCCCTCTTTCAAACCATTGAGATTGAGCAAAACTTTGCGTATCGTGCTTTGTTCTTACAATATTCATTATGATATATATAAGTTGTACACTGAGACAAAACTGTACTAAATGAGAAAGGTGCACCATTATGAAAGTGGAACGAACTCAGTTGCCTTAAAAGGGTGTCCCCTGGTAGTTTGAGCATGTGTGGCCTAAATAAGCTAAACCCCCCTCCCTTACCTTATTTAGGCCACAGTGTGGCCTAAATAAGCTAAACCCCCCTCCCTTATCTTATTTAGGCCACACTGTGGCCCAAATAAGCTAAACCCCCCTCCCTTACCTTATTTAGGCCATATGTGGCCCAAATAAGCACTCCCTAATATTTTAGTAACTAGGACAATCCTAAAATCCTAAAGAGATGTAGATCACCAGTCTTCCACACCGCCAGTCGTCTCTAATTAAATTCTCTTATCACCCCTCCCTTTTCCCTCACCCCATCCTTTCTTCCTCCGCTCCTCCTCAAATTATCCCCATCCCCTCCCCCCTCCGGAGCAGAAGTCAGTGTGTCGTACGACAACACATGCGGCCTGATGGACCCGACAACGGCCGGCTACCCTGTGCTGAGGACTGACCGCCAAGGGGAGCTCAGCTGTCTGAAGAGCCGCTGTCCCGACAACACCATCTGTGCCGGAATGAAGCAGGGCGTCAACAGATGCTGCTGGCAGTATTCGCGTGAGTGGAAACCAGAGATCAAAATTTTGAATGTGGAAAACAAAAACAAAACAACACCCCCCCCCCAAAAAAAAGGCATCGAACACACCAACCCCCCCCCCCCCCAAAAAAAAAAAGCACAAAAAAACTCGTCTCACCCTCATTCTAAACAAATTTTTGTAGAACAAAGTTCAAGGAAACTAAACAAGTTTCCTGTAAAGTACAGGGTTAATCTGAGGAAGACAGATCATTCAGGAAGCGAGCTTCCAACCCTCAGCTCGGGGATACAACATCCCAGCAGAAAGACACAGATACTCGATAAAAATGTCCTCCCACTTGAGAATTCAACTGACGTTTCATGCACAGCACATAATCACTACACAGATGCCCGTCTTTGTGTCTTTGAAAATATCATACTATGATAAAAGGTGGGGCCAAAGTTTTGCCCAAAAAGGCTTTTTTGTAACAATATCAATCGTTTTGGAAAAATACACATTACACAAACGTTAGGCAATTGTCACGCGTGGGGCTATTTTAGAAGCTTGATAAGCGCTGTTTAATTGAATCAGTTTCTGAAATAATTATCACATTGCCGTAGAAACCTGCATTTCTGCCATAATGGGACTGGAAGACCTGTTTTTGATTGACCCACATTTGATTCGCTATGATATCCATGTTTTACATGCCGACGACCCGCATGTGTTTAGATCTATCGAAACCTATTTGAAAGTGAAGGCAGAAAGTGAATTAGAGAGTGTCTGTCTTTCTTTAGTCCTACAGTTTGGTATGTGCTCAACAAAGGAGTGCACACAAGAAGCACAAGGTAAACCACTATTTCTCCGTAGTTTGCTAGTAATTATAATGACACCGTCCAAGACATCCATGTGTCTCAGACAAGCTTTTTTTTTCTCGACATCAAATGGCCAGCTCTGTCAATTTTAATGGTATAATATTATATTTGAAGAGAAAAAATATTAGATGATGGTGTCAAAAAGTCTCTCCAACTATCTGTCCCTGGGGTTTTAAGCACCCCACATAATTTAGCAAAATTTGATAATTTTTCGCATATATTCAGATTATTTTCCTTTATCATTCTTTGTTAAAATTAACAGAATCGCAAAATTTCACATTTTTGGGCCCAGTTTGCATAATTTCAGAATTTTTCTTGCATAAAACGACGGGGACAGAACTGTGCACCCAAGAATAGGTCCACGCATTTTTTAAAAAAGGGTCTGTTTTGCAGGGTAGATAATCATAATACCATACTGACCACAGATCACGGACTGGCATGGGCTCAGCTCCAGAAATCAATGATACATTGTAGATAGGCTCAGAAAGAGAAAGAGATACAGTTAAAATGATCTAAGACGGCCACCTATAGCAGAGGAGAAAAGTAATTGTCTCGAACAGGTGGATGTTTGGACAGGTCATTATTATTATAAAGAAAAAATGCAAGGGGGAGGGGGAAAGGGAAGTTGTCATTTGAACAGGTGATTCTATTGGACAGGAGGTCTTTAGAGAGCAGGATTGACTGTATATGGCTTGAGATAAAATAAACAAATTCTCGTTCTGTCAAAGAGAATCCCCTTTCGGAAGAACATTAATTTGTTTCTCTTTTCAGAGGCCAGAGTCAGTCCCATTCCCAAACCTGGAGAGTGTCCCATGGCCTTTATGATCGACTTCAGCCTCAGCTACAAAAAGTGTGAGATTGACGCAGACTGTGAAGCCAAAGAACGCTGCTGCTACCAAAACAAAACCCCCGGCATGACGCGTTTCATTGGCCGCTGCATGAACCCTGTGCACGTACAGCTGAAAGAAGACCCCAACCTATGCAAGCGAAACACATACATCACGTTTATGATGCGACTTTATAACTTTTGTACTTAATAATGGTTTTTCTAAATTAAAAAAAATATACCCCCCCAAAAAACGAACACAAAGAAAACCAAAGCAAATATTTCAAAGAAGTCAAACGATCTCCATCCTTCCCAGAAAAAACACCATAACAACAGTAGATTGTACATAACAGGCAGGTGATTGAGATTATTTATCAAAGTCTTCGCACAAAAACCTCTGCTAGTAAGAGAAGCACGATTAATCATAGTGACAAATATCAAATCCCACACAATGTACAGCTGTATGTAATCAACCAAAAATTTCTGTGCTTTCTTACTTTCAAGTAGCTCTGTCATCTGCTGTCCACTGGAGTTTGAGATGTTGGCAAAAGATTTACATTTTTGAGAGGAAAAAACAAGGAAAAAAACTGTTGTGTTGCTAGGAGTAGGAGCAACACAGTACAAGAAAAAGGAGTTCTTTTTGTCATATAAGATGTTTTATTTTCTTAATAAGAATCAGTCCTTCGTACTTCTCACAACAGATCTTCCTTCACAACGTAGGTTGACCTCTTGGGGCTGTGAAAAAAAAAAATGTATTCGCATTACAAAACGAAGCACAAACAAAAAGAATAAAAGACAATGTGGAAATAGATTTTCATGTATTCTTAATTTTTCTTTTTACAAGTTCCTGTACAATATCATGTTGCTGTTGTTGTTGTTGTTGTTATCGATCTAGGAACAGCTGGGTTCTCACCCTTCTGTCCAATGCCAAGTAGTGTAAGTGCAGGTTTGTTGCAGTTGCTGTAATGCTCCGTAGAGTGTGTTGTCAAAGTTAGGTCTCGGAGGGAGAAGAGTAGCTCTGATGTCATTTAGGGCTGAACCGTGGAAAAGGTGATGTTTCACTGTCTCATATGCATAGTCACACAAGGGACACATTGGGGAAGTTCTGGTTTTATTCTGTTCAAGTGAAATTTCAGCTGTATATGTTCTGTTCGTAGGCGGAAGATCGTAGTCTGTTTCTTTCTCTGAAGGTGGTTGATATTGTCATTTTGTTTTGTTGTAGTCATATTGTTTGAAAACTGCTCTGCCTGTCTTTCCCAAGGCCCATCTGTTCATCCAATCTTTTTTGCTGTTGCTTTTAATGATTTGTTTTGCAGTGTTGTATGAAGTTGGAGTGTTGGGTTGTTCCTGTCTAGATCCCCTTTTGGTGAGTGTATTTGCTTTGTCATTTCCAAGTATGGTACAATATCATAAAGTAGTAATGATTAAAAAAAAAGAAATGTACAAGAATATCTTCCTCCAACAAATTCAGCAAAGGGCAAATAACAAATGGGTGTAGGTTGTGTTTTTTTGGTGCTGTTTCATTTTCTTAACCTACTCTGCTATGGCATGTGTCGCGTGTAACCTCAACCCCCTCCCCCCCCCTCCTTTCAATATCATAACACTTTTGAAGTAACAGGAAAGAAGCCAAATAGCTGAGAAGCCTTGAAAACTCCAAAAACAATCCATATTCAATATCACCACGGTTAGGATTCAAACCAGGGTCATTTACATCATAGTTCAGCATGATTTCAAATGAGTTAATGGCAAGCCCCTATCCCTGAAAGACAAATAAGCTAACTGAATAGCAATTTTCAGAAAGTGCACAGGAGAACAGCTAGGGTATATATCATATCAACATGGAAAGAAGAGCAACAGCAAAGGGTTTATTAACCACAATCAAATAACTGAACCAGCAAAATAGAAAATACAACAGTCAAGTGTTTAGGTTGTATCGTCAAAGAAAAGGGAAAACCTCTCTTCGGACATCAAACAGTACACTCGAAAAGCAGCCTGGAGACCAAAGCCAATATTTTTTTGTAAACACTGAGTTGAGGGTAGGAAAGAGCACAAAGTATTTGCAGCTAAGAACGAGGACTATTGAAGATTCCAGCATAGTAGACTGACATCTGTGGTGCAGTGGTTTTAAGTGCTTTGCCATAGCACTCAAAAGACCTGAGGACGTTTCCTGTGTGGGAGAATTTTCAAGGAGTAGCTTGGTCTTTCTGCTGGGACGTTGTATCCCTCTCTTGACAGGTAGGATCTAAGCCCGCCTCCAAAATTATATAAATCGTTTTGATGGGATCATAAAAACATCCATATTTTTATAACACAGAGAGTTCGTTGAAAAGTTATGCGAATAGAGTGCTAGAAACAACAGGAAAAGACCAAATTTTAGACATAACGTTACCTGACAGTTTTATCATCATTCTCCCCCGTCGCTGATTGTCTTCTCTTCTTCTTTTCCCCCCTGTATTCTTTGCTGTCATCTTCTTCTTCATCATCTTCATTATCACTGACATGATCCTCTCTGTGGCTTTCCACGTCACCATCAGGGCCGTCTGCTTCATTTTCAAGACTAGCGGGATCAGGAATGACTCCAAATGGAACAGTGGACCAGTCGATGATATCTGGGAAAGGAGAAAAAGAAGATTAAATTAAAAAACAACTCTTGTGCATATGAAAGCATTGTACAATAACTTCTTAACATTGCTTACTTGCCAAACTATTGATCTCTTTTATGCTGCCACCTCGTAAACCATTACGGCCGTCAATCTTATATTGCCAACTATGCAAACCTTGACGGGCATAAGACAAATGTTGATCGTGACTGCTACATGCAACGATTAAAAATGAAACGAATTGAAAATTTTGGAAAGTTTAGTATAAGGTGAACCCTGTAAACAATGTCAACTGGAGTTAAACTTGAGCATAAAGTATAAGATTGTTGCCCTGAAAACTCTTTGGCCAAAAAACACATGTATTCTTCACAGTTGAAAATCATGTCAATTTACATCAGGAAGAGAAAAAGCTGCAGTACAACATGGGTATAGCCGGACTTTTAGTTCCAGAAGAAAAATCCCCCTGCAGGCATGTTCCCTCTATAGGAATGCAAAGGAGAATAACCAAAAAATCACACACTACACACTCTCCTTTTCTTTTACTGTCTTTTTGCCTGCCTTGGCTTTGGGCTTTGGCTAGAGGTGTGCGAGTCCAGCATATTAAGATTCGAGTCCAGACTCGAGTATCTGCTCTGGACTCGAGTAATTACTCGAGTAATTACTCGAGTCCCACGGCTCTTAAGACTCGAGTTATTACTCGAGTAATAGTATCCCGAAAGGGAATTTTAGTGGGTTTCAAAAAAGGTTTTGTTGAATATCGGACAGAAAATAGAGTGCCTTCCTAGGAGGGAGCTTGAGTAGGCTTATGGCAATTCTAGACATATGCTGTTTATACCGTATTTATTTTATTTTATCTTAGGAAGTGGCTATTCTCACCCCAGGTGAGAATAAAAATGTGATCGACCTCTCACCCCGGGTGAGACTAGCCAGTGTTGGCTATTCTCACCCGCTGTGAAACAAAACCGGGTGTTCCTAATTTCTGAATACTTCCTATCAGTGAGGATGATTAAATAGACAAACCCCTTTTTAAAAAAATGATATTATAACACAAAAGTAAAACTAATTGGTGGTCTACAATGATGCTACGGCTGTTTCACTTTTAGAATAGAGCCGAACTACCCTAATCGGCATTTTGTTTTGCCCAGAAGTTCTCGCTATATCTAGGCTACTTCTCTCTCTCTCTCTCTCTTTCAATGCCCGCAGATAAAATTGCATGTTTTTAACACAAGAGGACTGGAACATTTGTTTACACGACAGAATTCAATTTTTTTTAAAGTGTAGATCTAGAATTCTGTGGTTTACACTGGGTATCACATCACGGTAAACGCACACATGAAGAGAATAGCCAAAAGGCTCGCTCTCTCACCCCGGGTGAGTGAGAAGCTTACAACTGTATAACAACTAAGCTAGAATAGAGGTAGTCTTCATCTTATCTTATCTTATTTTTTATTTTTTAAAAATAATTCTTTGTTACAACAGTAAGAATAAAATGTACACAATCTGTAAACCTCAGACAATGCACTTCATAAAAGAAAGAAGTTTGATTGGTCATCGTGGGTTTCTAACAGTGGTTTCCTTTTTGCTTTTTTCTGGGGGGGGGGTTTCGGTTTTTTCCTTTGGGGAAGGGGTATTTTTTTTTTTTTGGTTCCTTTTCCTTCAGTTTTAAAAAATTGCTTATCAGAATTTTTCTTTTATCAATTCTTAACTTTTTAAAAAACCAAATTTTTCTCCTTTTTTCCTACAGACTCGAGTCCTTACTCGAGTCCTTACTCGAGTAATTTACTTGTGACTCGAGTCTGGACTCGCCGCATGTATTACTCGAGTACTCGAGCCTGGACTCGTTACTCGCACACCTCTAGCTTTGGCACATCACTTTTGGAGTGGCTCACCATGTAACGCGCCTCTCCGCTCCATTTCTCTCTGCTGCCTGCCCCACCTCACTCATCTGATACTCATCACTGGACTAACCAATCACACCGCCACACCGTTGACTACCTGTTTGGAGCCCACCTACAGCCCCCCCCCCCCCCACCCCCCAACCTCCTTCCCCTAGCTAGAGCTTGCTCGATCTCTCCCGCTGTATCCAAATTCCGGCCTCTCCGTGCCCTGTTAAACCCAAGCACAGTTAATTAAGTTTATACAGACAAAAAAAAAAGGGGGGATTCCGGTAAGGTCCTGCTGCAGCAGGTGCCATTATAGTCATGTTCTACAGTTAATATTAGGAAAAAATGGTCAGATTTTTTGTATTGGAGAGAAAAGATACTAGCAGAAATAATGTTTTCTGACAGTAGCTCACTCGTTTTGTCAAGTTGAACCTTACATCCAATATCATCAGATAGGCCAAAAGTAGGACTTTACTTTGAATTTTTTTATTCATTCTAAATCTAAAACAACAAATTCACATTAATGAAGCCCTTAACTTATATAGTGCTAATGATGACAACTTTCCCACAGGTGACCGTAACAGACCCAGTGCAGTTTACATGCAAATGCATGCAGGAAATTATTCCAGAAAAATCAGCACCCTCACTCCCCCCCTTATTTTAAAAAAAAAAAGGTGTTTTCAGTATTAATCCCTCGTCCACACATTTTAGATCATTTAGGAGGCGGACATCCAACCGTGCCTGTCAGGGCCAACCCAGGCTGAGAGGGATACAAAACTCCAGCAGAAAGACTGAGATGCTCGATAAAAATTTCTCCCCACTCCGGGATAGAACTCAGGTCTCCTGCATGTGACAACAAAGAGTCTAAATGCTACACAATTGTCACCAGTTTGGCATCTCCGATGCAGTGTTAAATAAATAAATTTCAGCAGCAGCAGACCTGTGCAAATGGTCCAAGGAATGTCCTGTTTCTCTATGCTGTTTTGGACATTTTCCACAGAGGGGGGTGGCTCAGTTTTTCCACGGACTTTCTTCAACTTCTCCGACTTCAGGTCTGGGGAAGTAAAAAAAAAAAGTTTCAGTTATGAAAAAATAGGAGACAACAACTGAATACGGAGAGTAAAAAAACGTTTGTCACAAACATGTCATTGCTACCCTGCACTTTTAGGAAGGACGGCTTTAAGTCATTTTCAATTAATGTAGTTATTGTCAAGTATTGTGCATTTTGTTCAAAACAGACAGGGGACTGTACATGTCATTCAGGCCTGATGTCACTTTAGTCAAGCAGACATGAGTATTTTTTGTCAATAATTCAGTAAAGACGTCCCTCTTTTAAGTGCAACAGAAAACTGTTAAATTTGGATTTGAACCTGGTCTTTCAGTGTTGTACAATCATTCCATGATAAATAAACTGCGGTGATACACAATATGGGGGATGATGACGTGCTGAAAAAATTAATAATAATGATAGAACTGTTTTTTTTCCTAATTTTCAGTAAAATCCACACAGAAGTGTTTTTGAATGTGCAGGAAAGATACTGAGCCTAAAACAAAAATTCAATAAAAATTACCCACAAGGAGGAAAAAATGTTGGGTTCCTTAGATTTTATTATTTTCAAGAGCGCCTAATTTCATCATGATGCCACACAAATGTTCCTGCAGTACAATTATTGAGTGCCAGATCTGAGACAGACCAAAGCGATCATAGTTCGCCATTCATTGCTTTGTCAGATGTCCTCAAAAAAGCTATACCATCTTGATTTTCCTGTCTCCCACCCATCTGTGTGGGCTTTCCAAGTAATTTTCTCTGGGTCTACTCTAGCCTCATTTACCTCCAATTTCACCACAGAGAGCTAGATGTTCAAGGCCCACATGTCTATTTAAGTGTCCCAGTTTTAGTATTAGTAGATGTTTTACGGCACTCGCAATTGCACAAGGTCATATGAGCACCAGAAGATTAGAGGTGTTACAAGACTGTAATACATAAAAGAGAAGGGGAGATAAGGACGATAGATGTTTGATAGGAAAGAAGGAGCAAAACACACCAGTGCACCCACCAATGTCCCAGAAACTGCAGCATACAGCAAAAAGAAAAAAAAAAAAAAAAGAACAAACACACCCAAAAATAATTTTTTAAAATAAAATAAAATAAAGTCTAAAAAAAAAGCTCAACTTCAGACTTGTTTCTACTCTACCTTCGACAGTGTAGACGGTGTTGTCAGTGTCTGATTCGTCCGAGGCTCCTTCTCCACCGGCAGCCACCGAGTTGATATCCAGCAGTTTCATCAGCTTCTCATATACTGAAGCACCAAGACTTTCTCTGTCAGCCAAACTGATGGACAGAAAGAAAAACAAAAAACCCAATAAAATCTAAAATATGAACCAGGGTGACTGCCAACCTGGCTTCTCAATTTTCCAGGGGCATGTTACATAACAATGACAGCGCGTTCTCCCATATATATGTGTATATGATGCACCGTAATGGGCACCCCATATATCAGACTATCGCTGGCAAATTTCTGGGTGGTAACGAAAGCCAAAGAACATCTTGATTTTCCTCATTGAGTCTCGGTGTCACACATACACTTCCGCCTGCCACAATAACCGCCTGTTCCCATGAAACACACTCTAGGACGAGGAAAAGCAGAACGAATATCATAATCACGACCGGAAAAAAATAAACTTACTGACCTTAGTAATCGCTGAGTACTGTAGCTATGACTCTGTTCACTGAAAGGTCCAGCAGGGTTCTTTACTCCATACGCAGGTTTAATTTACAACTGTTTACTACCGTCACAGCACATTCACTAACATTTACGATCTTTACGATCAGGGCTCAGAATTTATTACTTTTTTTTTAACAACTTCGTGACCTTACTGGACACCCTGAGAAATAGAATACACTTCAAGACTTTCTCTTTTTTAGTTTTAGTTTAGTAGGGTTTTTTCGGCGCTCGCAACTGCATAAGGTCATATGAGCGCCAGAAGATTAGAGCTGTTACAAGAGAGTAACAAACATAAAAAAGATGAAGGGGAGATAAGGATGATAGATGTTTGATAGGAAAGAAGAAGCAAACCACACCAGAGCACCCGCCAACCACCCACAGACTTTCTCTGTCAGCCAAACAAATGAACAAAAAGAAACAAAACAAAACAACATCCTAAACAGTGAGACCTCAAACAGAGCTCAATGCAAATCCCTGGGACATGGAAATCTTTTGATTACGTAGGGATTTCGTTTTGTACACGTTGTGAATACAAAAAAATTACATGTAGGCCTGTACCGAAAAATTTGGGACCTTAAAGTCTCTTTGCTGTGTGTCTGTTCGTTAAATGTGTGTTTTTCGCTGTGTGCATGCTAGACTGTGGTGTGAGACCTACTATTTGAACAAGTGGATGGAATAGGAGTTGACGTTCTGCAGACAGGCTGCCAGAAGTGTCTTCTTGGGAATCTGCATGGGGCCTTTGACAAGGTCTTCTTCTTTCCTCCTTCGTTTCCGTTTGCCTTTGAGGGTGGAATCTGGATTCAAGAAAATAAAAAATATACCATGATAATAATCATAATAATAATAATAGAGACAATAGTAATAATAACAACAAAAATAATGATACACTGCATCATAAAAAGTATATCTGAGTTACCAAATAATCTGCACGCATTTCACAATGTTTGGTTATCTTATCTAAAGAGCTTGTAACCTTCCTAAACAATCTTAGCTTCTCAGGAAACATTTGGGGCAAACTATCATTTTCACTGGTGCTCAACAAATATTAACATATAGACCAAAGTGAGGAACATGCCTTTCCAATGAATGGCTGGCCTAGACAATTAATTCCAACCGGCGACAATGTAGTTGCTTGTCCAGTAAGCAAGCCATGAGATTATTGGTTACTGATGCCACAACAATCACTCAAAGCACACAGGATAATAAAATGTTCCTCAGTCTAGAAAATTCATTTGTATTTTCTAATCCCTTCAGAACCAGACTAGCATTCAAAAGATACAGAGTGAGTCACGACAGAGGAGAATCGTTGTGCAACTACAGCAGCGGCTAGCAACAGTGTGTCTGTGACTGAATGAGATAAGTGATGTTGTATAGGAAAGTACAAGAGAAGCAAACCATAAGAGACTTCATGAATTAGAAATGCTGCAGCCAAGAGAGAAGCGTACAAGCTGCATAGCACATCCATAAGTGAAAATGAAACTTTTATAAGCTAAAATGTAACAAACTCTTAACTGCCAGAACTGCTCTCATTGGCCATAGCAGAAGCCATAAATCACCCTCATCTTTATTTCATTTATTTCTTCTATTTCTCTCAAAGAAATAATCACCTCCTTTGATAGGCTGGTCATTGTCAGGAACTGATGGATGAACTGTTATCATTACAATGTAAAAGTATATGGCTATATATTTCACTAACGTCATGAAGGAACAAACTTTCCCTGTAAGTGAAAAAAAAAATAAATAAATAGATAGAAAAAAAAAACCCTGATGTGTTTCTGTACCGATAACAAAAAACAATTTCTGTTTACATAAAAAAAGAAACGGTCTCAATGTCACCTGTACTCTGAGACAGCAAGTAGACAAGCCATGCCACGAGCTGGTAGTTCCGGAGTCCCGGCTCTGGCGTGGTCGAGAACAAAGCCGTGTTCATGAGCAGGGGGAGGGCCCCTGAACTGTACAACTTCTGCAGCAAGGGTCGCCAAAACTCAGTCACTTCTACAGGCATTGTGGGCGGAGAGTGGGCCAAAAGGTCTGTGGGAAAATTGGAAATTAGTAGGGTCACTGCAGCATAACGTTAGTCAGATGTTCAGATGTTCCATGCCCAAATTTTTAAAATATTTTATTGTGGTTTTTTAATCTGTGGTATCAATTGCAGGTGCTCAAGAACTATTTCGTTGAAATTCAAATCCTAAATGTTGAAATAACTAGAAAAGATACGTAACGTAGGGACAATTTTCTAAGGAAATGAAAGTTTCTCACTTTCTCCTTTAAAATTTTGCTTTTTCAGCTTAGGACAGTTGAAGAGCTTGCTGACAATGAGTACATCGATACCACAATGGTCTTTAGATGTAGGGAAAAAGTCAGAAAGACAGGCAGAGACAACAAAGGAAAAAAGAGTAATACCTGCCAATGGAGCTTTTCACCCATCCACTACTGAATTTGAAGAATTGCATGACTGTAAAAATAGTTTGCGACAGCAGAGAGAAAGGATGAAAATTATAAACAAGACTAAGAATATGAATCGTTGCCCGGTTAAAGAGCAAATGCTATACGGCAAGAGATGCAGTCGTCGCTCCGAGTGTAATGAGTTATTAGTATTAGTTTATCAAATGGTACCAAATTTCACACATATAACAAAAATGGATGATGATGATGATGATAACAAGCATAGTAAGAAGTCTTAAAATCCGCAATAAAATTTGAGAAAAAAAAATTATTTCCATGGATACGGCGCCATATTGGATTTTGTTGACAAGTCTTGCGTAATTAATACCACACTTATTTTTTTATGGAAATAAACTGGTTTTCTTTGCATGCATCTTGACAAACAATAAATCTACAAATCTGCGTGTTGAATTTTCCTTAAGCGTACTAGAACATTTTTAATGAATTTTTTCCTAAGGTTGTATTCACTCTTGCAAAAAATCCGTGAAAATTCACACTCCAAACACCACCAACAAAAAATGATTCTATATATCAAAAATTCATCACACAAATGTTTAGCACTACATCTTTTCTTCATTCTGTGAAAATTTCACGAAGATTGGATGAAAAATGGTGGAGTTATTAAAAAAGTAGATATAGAAAAACCACATTTCGAGAAAGCGGGCGACAAAGAAAAGTAAAAGATTGACTTTATGACGAAATGGTTGTGACAAACATGCCCGGTATGAGAAGAAATAAGGCTTTCGGGGGTTCTTATGTGATGAAAGAGTTGTAAGAGAGGCTGAAGAAACTAAAACTGCCTACAACTTAAAATCCATTGTTTTGAGCCGAATCGGGACTTTCGGGGTGCCGCTCCCCCCCCCCTAAATCAACAAGTAACTCACCTTCTGTCTGTACTCCAAAGGCAGCTAGCTGCTCCTCAGTAGAGATCAAGATGCCATCTTCCAGAAAACACTTGATGAACTGTAGCCTGCCAAGAAAATGGACAAAGGGAAAAAAAAAAAACAGGCGTTAACTACAAAAGAACAATGACATATTTCATAATCAATACATTCCATGAGCTAAAACTGTCTAGCTCTTTCCCACATTATGATTGGTGTTCATAGGAGAACTACTTTATCATGAGGAGTTTCCATGTCCATCTGTAAAGTAAGGCAGCAGGAGGAGTGGGGAAACAAAAGAAAGGAAATAAGATTATCAAAATGACAAAAGATCTCCTTCTAAACTCATTTAGTGCTGAGCGCCCTCCCATACATACCAATTTTTAAAAAATTACATACAATAGGATCTGTTCAGGAAAAAAGTATTAACATAAGAAAAACTGTTAAATCAATCTTAAAGGAGATTTTTTTAAAAACCTTATTGTTACTAAATAAATTATATAAAAATGTAACTCCAACTTGTTGTCTTCATTGGCCAGGTAGACCTCAATGCCAAAAACATTTGTAAACAGGAGATCAAGAGCTGCATGCCCTCCTTACACGTTACTAACTGGGGAATTAGTATATTCACTGTTCTCCCTTTTCTCTTCGTTGTCACTTTCTTTGTCAATAGCTGTATAAGAATCACTATGATCATAATCTAGGTGAGAATCAAGGATCCTATCCAACACTTCATCATCAAGATATCTATCTCTCGAAAGTGGCACGTTTCAAACGAAAGAGTAGCAACATTTTTGCAGTAATAAAGGCAAAACATTTCATGTGATCAATCAAAGATAACGGATAGACTGGTTATTGAACAAGAACATTGTCTCCTTGACTTGTCCCAAAATACAACAGGCTCACTTGGTTTTCACAGCAAAAACTATGTTTTTTCTTCTAACAGACAGAATGTGAGACTACTTTTGGATAGTTAGTGGAAGGGAGTCTGTCCAGTGAAATCTTCTTCGTTAAAATCAGACAAAAAATATCCACCTTGAAATGACAAGATAATAAATCTTTTTCAACAATGTTATCTTTCAATGACGGTGGTGCTAATAGTGAAGACTTGTCCATGAATATACATCACTAGATTTGACAGATATCTATTTCCGTAACTTGGAATGAGAAATGCTGATGGATGTTATAAATGCTACAGGACAGTGGAGTTCACTTAAACTAACATCAGGGGGGTACGCCAATGTTCTTCAGCTTAGCCATGTTTTCGGTTTAGAAAGGTTGCTCTAACAGAAGAAAAAATTGAGTTTTTTAAATTTTATTTAAGTTTTACTGCTCTTTTCGGATTAAATGTGTTAGATTTAAGTGGACTCCACTGTACTTTACTGTGATGCACAGCGCACCTGTTACGAGAGAGGTATGACTGTAAAGTCTGCAAGATGTTGTTCTGGTGTTCTTTCTCCTTTTCCTTCTTCTCTTCATCAGTCCCTGAGTTTAGCTCCTTTGAAGAAAGCAAAGTATTGAAAATTTCAAAGTAAGAAAAAGTTTCTAATTTACTTTTCTTCTGTAAAACAGTCTACAAAAAGTCAGTCAGAACAATGAGAGAAAAGTGAACAGTAGTCTAATCTCTAATAATGTGACAGGCCAAGCACAAAAGTATCCTTCCTCTTCATATTAAGTCAATGTACTCAAACTACCATTATACAATTTAAAAAATTATTTGATCAGGTGGGCTTTCTTCCTTCAAAAAAAAAAAAAAAAAATTTACACTTTTGTTGACAAATGATCAAAAACAAGTTGATGTGACGCAAAGCATAAAGTCAGACAAAATCTGTCGTCTACATTTTGAATAATTGTGTCGTATAGGAGGCAATACTACCCTCAATTCTCTCTCTAGTCTTCTTGAAAAACCGTTAGAAACATGTCAATACAATGTATAATAATAATAATAATAATAAAATATAGCATTTGTATAGCGTAAATTCTCTCTCAACAGTAAGCTCTATGCACATAACCAAATACCAAATACACACTATTTTAACAAAAATTCACACTCATAAAACTGAGATGGAAAAACTTTCAACTAAGGAAATCATAATTATCATCAATGCTTTTCTCACCCTGGATCAGGACCACAAACACTTTCCACTGAGGAAATGAAAGAGGAAAACGATTCTCACCTGATACCTAGCTTTCTGAAAATCGTACATAGCAGTTCGGACATCAGCCATCTTGAATTTCTTCTCTGGTTGTTCTGTCGCTCTGTCCTCCGTTTGATCCTCCAGCTGTTGCTGCCAGAAGCGCTCGTTGAGGTACGCCAGGGCCCACTTGACACCAGTCACCAGGGCGTCCAGACAAGGCATGGTCCCGTGGGTGGCATCGTGACGCATCCTCACTAGCCATTCAGGAATCCCAAACTGTAAGGAAAAGAAAATTCTGGGATCAGTCAACCAAAATAGGCTACTCTTACAAATTTCCAGAGACCGGTTGTGATCACAGAGGATATTAAATATCAATCTGTGTTTTCTTTCCAAAATTTAAAAACTGAGTTAAGGTGCAGGGAAAGGAGGGACGGGACATCCAAAAACACAAAATTAGCATTGCAGGGAGAGAAATTAGTGACAAAATCTTGTCCAAGACAAAATGTTTCCATAATACTACAGTGTTGGACACTCAGAATAATATACAGAAAAAAAGGTAAACCATCTCCCCCCGAAAAAAACCAACCCAAATCGCTAGGCTTGTTAATTGAATAAAAGTTCACGGGTAATCTATTGGTAAAATAAGATGAAAAAAGCTTCCTATTCACCAAACTAGAGCCACAATAAAAAAAATTCTATGTCTCTATGAACATACCTCCCGTGCGATAAGATGGACTGGTTGAGCCACTGCCTTTGTCTGAGCCTTTTCTGTCACGTGATTCACAAACCTGGTCAGTGAGAACAGTTAAAAGTAAAACAATAAAATATCTCGCATGAATTGAATAACGAGCATAGGGGCCAAAAAAAGTCAAATTTGAATATCAAGCACATATCCCATACTATGTTCACAATAGAACTATACTTGTTGAAAAAAAAAAAAGGAATTTTACTTTATAAATTTGACAAATTATGAGTTTTAGCCACAGCATACATATAAAAGGATACACACAATTATAATGACTCTGTTAAAAAAAATTCCAGCATTAAATAGAAGCAAGATATACATCATCTTCATCGCAAAACACATTACGAAGCAGAGCCAAACTCAAAATACTACATTTTCATAAAAACTATAATTTATGCCCAATCACATTCAACAGTAGCTGTTGCTGACACTATACGTGGGGACCTAAGCAAATAGAGCATTGAGTTGACCCATTGATCAGTCACGAAGCCTATTACAGGTTTATCTACATTCTCCAACTTGACAAAAAAAAACCCCAAGATGACAAACAAATTTCAAAGATATATATTTCAACAAATTTTTCTACATTTATTACCCAAGAAAATATTAATTAATTCCTTATAGAATCCCATTCTCTGTTTCAAGAGAATTGCTCCCGAGCTCCACTATCGTCTATCGATTGGCAAAGTTGACCCACTTCATCATTTGCTGTTGCACTGAGACGAGCCTCTTTGCATCGCTGTCAGTCCAAATCTAGCACACTTAAGAGTGATCCCATTACCATTTGCTGAGCTTAGGAAAAGAAGTCTACATTCATATAATAGGTACCGAAAGAGATGTACTTGACCATTAATGTGAATACCCAGGACATCATTTCACAGAAAAAAAAAAGTAGTGAAACCTGATCAGTGCAAGGCCACAGCTGGACCTCAACTGGGCGTCTTTCTCCTGCAGAGAGCCCTCAGCCTTTGCCGTTCTGTAGTCTAAGCAAACTTGCAGAAGATGAGCAGAACTTTCAATAGCCACAGACAACTTGTTCCCTGCCCTGAGCAAGACAAATAGTAGACTATCATCATCAAATACAAACAATCTAAGGAGGTGAGGGTCACCTGGTTTCAGAAGTAAAATAAGCGAAAAAATGGCTGTCTAATCTAAGTTGAGTTATGTCCTTAGCTTGAGTGTCCATGGAAACTACAAAATTTATATCCTTTATGCCTTTAGTCAAAGTTTTTCAGTAAAATCAACATCGGAATGAGTTCTTTAATGGGCATGAAAGGTGTAAGCCAAAAAACAAAAATTCGATAAAAATTTCCAAACTAGAGGAATACTCCTTTCTCTGATTTCTTTATTTTGACGAGCGCCTGATTTTACCAAGCTGCCTCACAAGTAATATACATATAAAACCAATGGAATGTTGCTTTCAACAACTTCTTTTGTACTGCATAACAAAGCTTCGGTGCAAAACAGGCTAGAGCTAATGTATTGAAGCTGTCTTGTTTCACACTGGCATATTCTGAGAGGACAATTTTCTCAGTCATGATAATATATCTGCTGCAATTTTTTATAAGTCTAGACAACATCAGTTGCTGCTTACAATAGCACTGCACCTGGAAAAAAGTACTTTGATGTACTACAAAGTACAAACCCTCACTGCTTTCATTTTAACTAACACAGTAGAAAATATATGAATTTCATAATCATAAGACCTACCTTGACTTCCAAGTGGCAATTCTGTTGATGGCTTGATTTTGTTGAGACACATCCTCATTGAACAGGTTCTCATAGACGCCTAAGAATTCCTGCCTAATAACCAAACATTTTTTTAATGATGTATTCTTAAAAAATGAAATCTTCTTTTTCCATATTCAACTACATTTAAATTAGGAACTAAAATGAGTTCATGAAACAAAACAGGACAAAAATACTAAAGACCTTCATCCAAGCATTCTTTCTTATGAAAAGAATTCTTTTTATTTTCTAAAGATTCACGTACAGAAAATTTAGAAGTTGCATAAACCTAATGCGCATTAAAAACACGAACAAAACAAATTTCAAAACGGTAAAGTACAATAAGTAATTTAATAACACTGGGATATTCCACAGCCTGTACGATAATGTTTCTGACCAGCTCAAAACAGACATAGGGGACTCCCCCCCTTGAAGACCAGACTGTTTTGTCACCCAGTAACAAAGATGTTTGTGGCCCAACAAAGTCAAAGGAAAAGATCCGTAGCTCAGTAAAATTGCTTAGGAAATGACAGCTGCAGATTATCAGGATTCTCAAGTGTCAGTAAGTGCAATTAGGCAGCATAGGATACACAAAGGAACCAAACAAACATTAAATATTTCAATTAATCCTGTGCCATAGTATATATGAATGACAACAAGCCATTTAATATTTTGACATATTTTTCAGTCATTTATTTTGTAAAGCCAGTATTATTTTACTATTAATTAGGAAAAAAGGTAAATTTTTAGCTTTACTCCCCACATACATGTACTGCTTTAACTAGGGGACTAAACTGCTGTATTTTTTACCGCAGGGCACACATATGATAAGGCCACTTAAACCGTCACAAATTCATTGTTTTCAAGAGAATCTCAACAAATAATAATTTACTTGCAAATCACCATCAAATTATAAAATTATAGGGAAATACACCACCGCCCCCCCCCGCCCCCCCCCCCCTCCCCCCCTCAAAGTACACCCTAACTAAGATCTTTTTAGTCATAGGTCATGCCCCCGCCCCCCCAAATCCCCAAGTTTGTAAAAACATGAGAAAAATTAATGCATTAATTAAGCTTAAAGTGTAGATTTCTACAAGAAGGCTAGTCCAACAAAACCCATCAAAATATTTCAAAATCTTGCAATTTATGACTAACATAAAGTCAGATCTATAAAATAGAAAAAAAAGAACAAGAAGAAAAAGAGCTATCAACGATCGATATCTCAGTTGATGAGAAGATGGGAGAAAATAATAGATTATGCCCTGTTCCTCTTCAGTAAATACTAAATGAGTCAAATGAATTAAATTATACGCCAAAAAAGAAACAAAGTGGCTACTATGCGTATCCATGCAGAGCTATGCATACGCATTATTATCCTAATGTGGAGCGCCTGTCTATGCATACGGGCCTCCAGTTCACATAATAAGTTAGTCTTTGTTGTACGCCACACACATATTATTGCTGTTTACAAACCGGACACTACAAGCGGACAAACTTTCAAAACACGTCTTGAGGCTTCATCAACATACACCTTAAACTTTAAGCAGTTCAAGTTGAACTAAGTAACAACAAAGTAGAGTAGAGGAAGAGTAGGTTCTTCGCATGCTTCGATGTTAGCATGTTCGTCTGAGAATCTTTTATGCCTTTGGCTATAAAAAAGATAGCTGAAGAAATCATTTCATTGATTTATTGTTGATATAATAAAAATCTTCAATTGTTAAAAAATCCTTCAGTCAATAAAATCCATATAAAGAACAACCTATTTACGGGAGGGTCGTACGCATAGCCACAGGCAAAAAGAAAAAAAAGTTTCCTGAGAGTGTTTTCTTCCTCTTCCTGTAGAAAGACAGAGGCGTTTTGTTTTCATTCTGACAATATAAAGCTTCTAACAAGTCAGGAATAAAAGAAAATTTATAAAAGGTTAGATAATATTCGATCTAGATCTAGATTCTAGATCTCGATATATATCTAGATTCTAGATCTTCCCTGTCTTATTTTTATGGCAGACTCAACAGGCTATTTTGGTCTCCGCAATTTGGTCTCAAACGTCACGAAAGTTTGTGTTTTATTATAAATAATAAATGCAAGTCACAATAAGAACAGTCGAACCTGCCATGACGGCCACTTTCCATTTCGGATTTCCCCCCCCTCGCGTTTTTTAAATCTAGATCTAGATCTAGATCTAGATTAGATATAATAATATAATTTGACTGTAAAATTGGCACTTGTCCAACACTTTTATTTTATCAACCCACGGGCAATATCTAGATCTAAATCTAGATCTATATATCTATCTATATATGTGTGTGTCTGTGTGTGTGTTTTAAAATTATTGTTGCCTGAGGGGCTAACCCCCTGAAACCCCCCACTGTTGTTACAACATTGATACGTAAACATGATAGTCCGCTCATATTTTGCATTTGCATGTTTTCTTTATTATCGTTGGGTATGATACACGGTGGTCCACGAAAGTTAAATCGCCTACCCATCCTCAACCACCACCTCTCGCTCACCTCGCCTAGCCGCTGGCTTGCGCTAAGCATGAAGTCGCCTGCGGAACTACCTTTTGTCCGCACGTAGAGAACTAGATACTAGATCTATAAATGCGTAGTTAGGCTAGGCGTGCGTAGTTCACGGACCGAGATGGGTGGTCCAGTAAACATTAAAGTTAAAGTACAATCCAGCCATCTAGAGAATCAATCCTGCCTAAGACGGCCACCTGTCTTATACGGCCACTTTTCTCCTTGACAATGCGTGGCCGTCTTACACAGGTTCGACTGTATTGTATCAAAATAAACAAAAAAGTAATTGCATACCGTGATCGCCACGGCACTACATGCTTGATACTGCCAGAAGAAGGCAACGACATCAAGGGAGCTGCCATCTTGATTCTGCTGACAATTTTGTCCTATAAAAAAAGAATAAGAAATGAAACTAGCCAGATTTTAGAGATCAAAAATTGTATTTGATAATTCAACGACCAGGCCTTCGTATTTAACTCTACTACACTTTTTTCCCGTATCATTTAAAGTACAAGTTAATGAATATTTATATATTGCAGAGTATAATTTAAAATTGAACTGCAGTTTTCTAAAAAGACAAAGAAAAAAAAATATAATAGATCTATCTAGGCTACATAATTTTAACAAAACGCGTGCTGGCAACTGGCAATACCAGTCTAATTAAGGCCTAGGGGCATAGACAGACTGCAGTTTGACAGTATAGAAATGGTGTAAGTTTGGCCACAGTGTGTTGGCTTGGCTTACAAAACCGAATTTTAGATTCTAGGTGAGATTCTAAGCCCCTTGATGAGATCTAAATAAACAACCCGCTTCCACAAGTGAACAATTTTTAAAAAAGGTGATTACATACTCACCCTTTTGTTATTTTGAAATCTCATTCTTTGACATACTTCGGCCTGGAGCAGGCTCAGTGGACGCAACCTTGCTTGTTTGAAGATATAAATAGACTGATAGAAACATTATAATTGGGTCAGGAAATACCAACAAAACTAGGGGTTTCCCTCCAATGCTGCTCGATCACTTCCCGTTTCCCAAGCATTCCCCTTGCTGCGTTGAAACAAGTCCGGACACGTCCAGCTTTCTGTTTTACTTTTGTTTAGGAACTGATCTGCTTTCATTTGGTTGGAGCCAGGGGTTCAACACAAAAGATCACGTGGCTTGTTAATATTTTGCGCTCATTTATGTAGACTGTATTTATATTTAGACCATGCTGCAATTCTTCTGCTGAAAATTTCCATCGGGAGGCCCAGCCCAGCAGCGCCTTTTTACGTATAGCCAAGACCTACTTTACTTTCTTGACTTTCTTCTCGTGAGCTGATGAGGTGTTCGAGTTGAACCCGCCCAATCACCAACAACATTCTGCGGTAAGAATAGAAATCTAGTCTAGAGATCTAGATCTAGATATCTAGATGGTAAATTTATAGCCTCCCATCTCAGAAATGGTATTATTTTGTAGCTTTTTAGGGCCCCGAACGCGAAATTGGCATTGAAAAACGTCGCAAATTGTTAGATGTTACGGCACATTATTTCAGGGGGGAGACCCTGCCTGCCCGCCCTACTACACACACAGCTATTACGTTCTCGCTTGTCAGGGGGACACCCCCTGAAACCCTCCCTAATGACTATAAAAGCATGCATTATAAAAAAAAAAAGCCTAAAACTTAGCCAACTAAAAAAACTGACCTTATTCGTATATCCGACGGCACTAAAGTGGTGAAGGAGCTGACTTCAAGTAGATCTAGTAGATGTGACGCGAAACGGGAGGGCTTTTCTATAAAAAATACCATATATCTAGACTTCTTCTATTTAGAATCTATAGGCTATCGTCTTCTGTCTTCTGTGATTAGGGCCTGTGTGCAAGTTGCGCTCGTTAAAGATTCCTTGGTCTAAAATGATAAGAGTAGGTAGGCTTCGGCCGCGCCGCCACCCAGGCAAAATTCAAAATTTCCTGCCAATTCAAAATGTTTGGTGTGTCCCGCGCGCTCTTATATGACCTTATGCAGTTGCGAGAGCTGTAAAACTCCGGGGAAAAAAAAGATTGTTCATTTGCCTTGCTTTTAATGGGAAAAAAAAATCCTTTGTCATTCCCGATTCAATAGGCTATTATTTTTTAATTACTTGATGTACCATACTAGATTTTTTTTTAGGGTGCGGTAGCGGAGCGGTTGGTGCGCTCATTTCCAAAGCGGAAAGTCCGGGTTCGAGCCTCTGTTCGGACACAGATTTTTTTTCGCCCCCTCCTGCCCATCCAGCAGTAATGGTTAGGCCTTCCTGAATTCGAGTTGGGGAAGTAAAGGGGGCGTTGAAAGGAACTGGCCACCCTACTACAATATATATGCCGAAGGCCCAGGAAGTTGTCTCACTAACAAGGCAACCTCCATTATGTCTGGATCAGATGCGGGAACAACTTTACTACTTTTTAAATTTTTGGTAAATATTTGTTTTCACTCCCTCACATGCCCTGCTTTGGGGGTCAAACTGCAGTATTTTTTGCTGCACAGATCACGCATTAGCCTATAGGCACTAAAATTGTCACAAACCAACAATTTTCAAGAAAATTTCAACTTAACTGCAATACATCAACAAGCTGTAATCCCACTGACCCCCCCATAGCTCCAAAGTGCGGAAATTACAACGCAATATGATATTAGGATTAGGTAGGTTTAGTCACTAAGCTTGTGATATAGTGTGATAATAGCTCGATCAAAAACCATATTTATAAATAAATTTAAATACTTTAAAAAAAAAGTTTTTAAAAGTATTCGTGTGCCCATGGTATGTGATAAGTGACGCTGTGTTTCGATCTTGAGCACTTGAAGGGCTATATGGGAGGTAAAAGAGGGCAGATCATATCAAAGCGAGGTCCTATAACTTCATGTCTGACTTGTTTTTAAAACTATTCATTTGCCATGGAAATGAAGTCGATATTCGTGTTCAACGCGTCAATATATTGTAGAGAATGGACCGCTAGGTGTGAGACGGGAGGGAAAGTAAAAGAATAATTTTGAAATGTATGCTTAAAACCTGGAAAAGTTATATTATATAAATGGGATGGCCATGAATTTACCGTTACTAGTTTCGGAGGTCAAGACTCTTTCTTCAGAAAAAAAATACAATTTGTTCCTAAAAAAAAATTAGAAACAGTAGGCCTACATTTTGAACATATGATATTTGTTAAGTTCACCACACTCAATTCTCTTCACAACTTTTTGTATTTTATTGTATGGACTATGGGCTCATTTTTTGCTTGAGCAGAGCCGTGTTCAAGTTAAATGGTTCAATGTGACTTATAACCTTTATGAGTTTATGGCGGTCACTGGTCTTTGGTGTTCACAACTGGTGGCATGCCTGGCATCCTTCTTTGTGTTAGGAGGTCAAAGTGAAAAAGAGAGGGGGGTTGTGGATGTGGTGGTTACCTCCACAGAGGCGTCAAGGGGATTAATAACATGGGAGAACAAGGCAGATACCACTCCCATGTGTTTCCGGTATGCACATCCGCTTCTAATTTTAGAACTTATGAAATGCAATGCAAGAGAATCTGCTTCTTTCCCTCCAAATTTTTTCTTTGTGGTTTCTGTTCTTCGAACAGACTTAACGAGCAGTTGTTGTGATCGCTGTGCTACAATTCATCACTCAGTTGTTTCAGTTGTGCTGTTGAATTTTAAATAGTCATGACAGAGAATGTCAGATTAATTGTAAGTCCTTTTTAAATTTTATGCTAGACATTTAATTTTGCTAACAAATGGATTTTTTAAAGTTTATATGTTTAGCTGCTGGTTCTGTGTTCTGGAACCGAACTTGGGTTTCCATTGTATTGTTTGTTTTGTCTACTGGCTGTCACTCTGTGCAATTTATGTTACATTTTATGAAACTGACAAAATGACAAGGATTTCTTAAAAGCCTTTATCGTTGAACTTCCATTCATTTTTAGTAAACGCTATTCTTTCAACTTTGTTGAGCCTCTACTATGCATGCTAGTTTTAGTTTAGATGGGTTCAGATTCCCAAACTGCGTTTGCATTTTAATGGGTAAAGTAGGTTTGTTTTAACTTTTCTTTGATTTTATTGTAAAAATGGTCTGGGTTGTCATTTATGCTCCTTTTCTTTAATAGTAATGGGTTAATACCTCTCTTCTTCCTACACACAACTCTCTTTGTAACACCTCTAATCTTCGGCACTTATGGCCTTATTGTGTTGCAAATTCAGCAAATGCCGTAAAACTCTTACTAAAAAACAAACAAAACCTCGGGGTTTTTCTGCCGTTACTCGTTCTTTTACTCTTGTCAAGTGTATAGAGTCAATTACGTGTGTATAGTATTTATGAATTTGTAAGTAATATTTAAGAAAAATGATGGTACAGTGCCTTAGGAGTAATAATATAATTTTATTATTTTAATTTTTAACGCCTAATTTTTCTTCGCTTAGGAATGAAAAATTTAATTAAATGTTCAAATTGTCCTTATGTGTAAAGAATCAAGAAGTATGGTAGATCTATATTTTATTACAAGACGAAATAGAATTGAAAAATTTATGTACAAGCTTATATATGTTTTGTACAAGGGTTGTTGCACTACAAATGAGGATAGAAACAATTTGCAACTCCACCCTGATTAGAAGGATCCTTAACATTTTCATCAAATTTTTCAGTTACATTGTTATTTCTTGAATAGTGTAACCTGTTGAAAAGAAAGAGGCAGATGGAGACGGGCAGAGCACCAATACCAGAGGGCTCTGCCCAGCCTCTTATCGACGGAGGTTCCCCATCTGTGTCCCGGATCCAGGTTCAGTCACCTCTTTCTACCACGGTAACTGTGGCAGCCGCCCACACGTCATCATTGCCGTCTTCTTGTGGCAGCAGCGACACAGTCCCTACCACCACTCCCACTACACAGTATGTTTTGGAAGAGAAGACCACTACTGTTCGTGTGCCCATGGTAAGTGATAAATGACGCTGTGTTTCGATCTTGAGCACTTGAAGGGTTATGGGAGGTAAAAGAGAGGACAGATATATCAAAAGCAGGTAAAACTTCTTGTCTGATTTGTTTGAAGTTGGGGGGTTGGTGAACGCACTGATGTGATTTGAGCCTTCTTTCGTATTCAACTTTCAATGTCCTTATCTCTCCCAACTTCTTTTCTTTGTAAGTTACTCCCTTGTAACACTTCTAATATTTGTCACTTATTTGACCTAATTATGTTTGTTGCTAGTGCTGAAAACTTTTACTAACACTTATTAAAACAATATGGGGATGAAAATCAGACTGGCCAGAGTTTGCTGTTCGAGGAAAATTCAACGAGAATAAAAGTTTTTGGTCTCTGTACCACTTCAGCATGATGTTCCCCTGTCTTTATTTTATAGTGTTTTTTCTTTGGTTTTTTTTTTTAAAGGATTGTCATAAGCACAGCCGAAGCTGTTCTAGCGGCCGCCTGTCAAGGACACAATCACCTGCACAAAAATGACCACTTCCCAATTCATCATCATCATTGCCTTTCTCACCATCATCAGGGTATAGGCCACGAACAAACACCTTTCACTTTTCTCCATCCTGGGATGGCCTCTCACTTTTCTGTACATCAATTTCTGTCTCTTCTACTTACAACTTGCCTCTTGTATTTTTTTCTTTGACAAAATGTGGCTGTCTTGAACGTTTTCAACTATACTTTTGTATAATTCTGAACAATGTCAACTTTCAAGTTGTATACCCTGGTTACTTGCTGTAAAAATCAAATGTGCCGAAAGAAACCTTTCACTTTAGAGATATTTGTGGTGTTCACCGCTTTTTTATTTTAATAGGACCTGATGTGTGACTGGAAGGAGAGTACTCTTAAGTCCGCATTAGTGGTTTCATGATAAATTATTTGGGTTTTTTTAGGGGGGGGGTTGGGTGGTTGAAGGGCACCACTGGTAAGTCTTACATAGTTTCTTTTCTCTGATTTTCAGCTTATCTTTCTTCCTTTTTTCAACATAGATTGACTGTTCATGTGTTGGCGTACTTCTCTTTCATAAAAAAGATAATAAATTTTATCTTCAGTTGCGACCTCGTCCTGCCTTACTGAAAGTGTTACAGCTCGCAGGGGGCATTGGAGAAACATACACTTTGAAAGAGGTAGGAAGTGAGGACTGATCCACCGATCCTCATACTTTGAAATAATTTAAATTACAATAATAAAAAGGAGCAAAACAATGCAGCAAAGAAAGCATACACTTAAAAAATCATGGCTTTTATTTGTTTGTTTAGTTTTTAGTTCAGTTGTAATGTTTAGTGTGTATTACTCGCTCTTTGACTGTGACTACTCCTTGAAAATAGTTTACCCTATATCTTGTTAGAAAGGTGAAACTAGTTGTTAAATTACAAACTGATTGGCTTGAATATTTGCGTCAAATGATTTGCGACAGTGTTGAAAAAGGGTCCTCAGTACTACTAGGTGTGTCCGTGAACATGCCAAAATGTCTAGCGACTGGTCCCTGCATTACAGTGTATAAGCCTGTCTTTACTTTTGTGCTAAACAAAGTCATGTCTAGTGTAGATGAATGGAACACTTGGTTTAGTCTGTCATAATAAATGTCTTTTGTCTCTTGCTTAAATTGTTTTCCTACATTTATAATACATGTAGTCCTTCTTATTCCTGGCATTCTTATGTTCATAATGTGATGTGCATCCTATCATAGATTTTGCTGTGTCTGCTTAAGTGTTAAAGCTGATATAATATAGAGATAGCATGTATGCATCATGTTCCTTCACTTTTAGTTTTGCGTCAAGATGAAGGTATTCTGAAGTGCATAGAGCTGTATTTTACCGGAGTGGGTGCTAAAGAAATTATCCATTATTATTATTATTATTATTATTATTATTGTTTTTGTGGTTGTTGTTATTACTGTTGTAATTGTTGTAGTTGTTATTATTATCATCATCATCATCTCATTGTTGTGGGTAGTAGGCGGGTGCTGTGGTGTGGATTGCTCCTTCTTTCCTACCAAACATCTGCCGTCCTGATCTCTCCTCCTTTTTTGTGTTTGTTACTCTCTTGTAACACCTCTTATGTTCGGGAGGGTGGTTGGCGGGTGCTCTGGTGTGGTCTGCTCCTTCTTTCCTATGAAACACCTATCATCCTTATCTACCCTCCTTCTTTTTTATGTTTGTTACGGTACTTGCTTGTAACACCTCTAATCTTCTGGTGCTCATATGACCTTACGCAGTTGCGAGCGCCGAAAAACCTCTACTAAAACAAACAATCTTATGTTCAGCACTTTTATGACTGTATTGTGTTGCAAGTGCTGTAAAACCTCTACTAAAACTAAGACTAAGTTTTGCGTCAAGATGAAGGTATTCGGAAGTGCGTAGAGCTGTATTTTATTGGAGTGGGTGCTAAAGAAATTATCCATTATTATTATCATTATTATTATGATTGTGGTTGTTGTTGTTACTGTTATTACTGTTGTTATTGTTGTAATTGTTATTATTATTATCACCATCATCATTGTTATATTATTATTATTATTATCGTGTATGGTCAGATCATTGGACTGGTCCAGGAGTACATTCAGGAGAGGAAACTCTATGATGAAAACAACCCACACATGGTCTACTGTGGCGCGGATCTGCTGGGGGAGGCCCTGCGCGTGCAGCAGTTTTCTGTCATGGAAGCCTTGTGAGTTGTTTGTTTAAAGATTTTGTCAGAAGATGTGTTGCCATTTTTATGAATATGATGGTAAATATAGTGAAAAATATTTTTAGTGCTGATAGCGCCATTGTCTCTTTCTTTATTCTTTTTTTTTAAAGGCAACCATCCTCTACCCCCCAAAAATAAAGAATTTTTGAAAGGCAACTCTACCCCCCCCCCCCCCTCCCCAAAAAAGAAAGAATGGCTCTGCCACTTCTTACATTTTTTTTTCAGCAGGTCCCTCATTTCTGTATTACGTTTGTTACTGTGGTACTGCTTTTCATGGAATGGCCAGCTTACTGTGTTATATTTTTTTGTCTCTTTCCCCTCCCCCTGCCACCCCCTCCATCCTCCTTGACCTGTTCTTTGATAAAAGTTTTTTTGTTTTTTTTACATGAAATCGTGGAAACATTAATGTTGATGACAAAAAACTTTGATTGTTTATGCAGAGTGGTACAATTATTATAGCTCAATCTATACTTCAAGTGGGTGACGGGCACTCTGGTGTGGTTTGCACCTTCTTTTCTATCAAACTATCATCCTTATAAATCTCTCTCCTTTTTTTTCTTTGTATGCTACTCTCTTGTCTCTAATCTCTCATCTTCAGCACTTATATGACCTAATTGTCTTGAAGGTGCCGCAAAACTCTTAATAAAAACTTTAAAAAACCCCCCAAATTCCCACCATGTTCTCTGCAGAGGTCTTTTTCACCGCAACTGCTCCCTGGAGCCGGATTCATGTATCCGTATTCGGAGACAATTGGTGACGAGGGCTGTGACTGTTCCAGCATCAGACGCTTCTTCTTCTGGCACGGCTTTGTTCAGCACTGCCGGGCTCCCAGCATCGGCCAACACCTCTTTGTCCTCTTCTTTATCATCAACTTCGGCTTCTGGATGTAGCTCAGTTCTGTCCCAGGTGAGACTTTTTTAACCCTTTGCTTCCATGAAATGTGAAAAGCTCACAACCTTCGTCCCCATGGACCAGGATGCAAAAAATACCCAATTATATAAAATTTTCAGCATAATGAGAAAATTATATGTGATGATCTCATTTTCACCAAGATTGAAAACAATAATACAATAGATCTAGCTCATTCATCACCTGAATTTTCAATATGGTATAAATGTAAAGCAGTACTCATGCCAGGTGTACTAGACATTTAAAGAAAAATTACTCCCATTGTTGGAAAAATACTAATTTTCGACCTTAAGGGCCACACAAACCATTCATAAACAAGTGCGCATGTCAAAAAGGAGATCATTGCTATTTTATTTTTGTTGCTATATCACACATCAATCAGCGTCCTATGGGGGCAAAGTGTTAATGCTATGATAAACTCTCACAACATCAAACATTGCAGGTCATCACAATCAGACTTTTAAGTTCTAAAATACGGAAGATATTGCAGATCCGAAGCAGGCCTTGTGGCCAATAAACATTCTCGTCTGAATTCAATCACAGTCACATTCATCATTGATTTTGATTGACAGCCAGATAAGAAGTATTCTATGCTTGCTTCAGTGTAGCACAGTTGTTTTAGAGATGTCACTGATGACTTTGTGACTGTCCTTGTTTTGTATTAGACAATTTATACAGATTTCCTTCCATAGAGCACATTATTGGTGGTGGGCTGGCTGTCTGATGTGATTTACTCCTTTTTACTACTGTCATTTTTTTATTCTGTTTCCTGTCAAAATTTGACAGTTTCCTTGCTGCCTTGTCACAATGGTTCCTGTCCATCTCAAAGGATCTAATATGAAGTTCTTTTTGTACATGTATGAATGTAATTTATGAGCTTTGTTTGTTCACCTGTGATTTTGTAAATGTTTCCGGCCCACTAATTTTATTCTTTTGTTCTCTAGCTGCCCACTAGTGGAGCTTCAAACATTCCAACAGAGCAGGTTTCATGCACTCCAGGTTAGTGTAATGAAGTGGAAAATGAATAACCATTATTTTAATGTGAAAACTTGCTTTTTTCTTTTCTTGCTTAAAAAAAAAACACCTTTACAGTTGTCACACCTATTGCTTTATTTTAGTTAATTTTTTCTCGTAAGATTATTTGAATTGATTTTAGTTATCAACTGAGAAGTGAGAGAGTTAGTGATGTAGTTTTTGCTACTGGTATTGTTTTGAATTTGTCCAGGTTATATTGGACCTAGGTGTTTGTTTTTGGTAATGTGGCAATGTGTAAGAGGGATTAAGTGCTTTTGATAAATATATACCTGCACATGCACTCACCAATATAACCACACATACACATACATACATGCACACATACACACACACACACACACACACTCACACATACATACATGCACTCACACACAGACACATACACACACACACACACACACACATACATACATGCACTCACACACACAGACACATACACACACACACACACACACACACACACACACACACACATGCACTCACACACACACACACACATACATTCATGCACACATACCTACGCACACACACATACCCACATACACACACACGCGCGCACCCACACACACACACACTCACTCACTTGTTCACTCACTTAAAAACACTTACAGGAATAATCTTTGTTTCTGTCTATAAAATAATACATCTTTTTTGACAGAAGGCTTGAGTATTCTGCTGCTGATAGGTAAATCTCTTTGATGTTTTATTGAATTTCTTTTTCTTTTCCCTTCAGAGTCATCGGGAAGTCTGTCAAGCTCTTTGCCTTCGTCAGGATCTCAAGCATCGTCGCAAAAATCAGCATCATCACCCCAGTCTGTCTCATCATCGACCACTGTTCTCACCGGAGCCACCAGCCCATCTGTTGTTGTGAAGCAGTCGGAGCTGGACGCTCACTTACACACAAAGGAAGGTGATCAGGTCAGTTAATTGTGTAATAAATTATAGGCAAAAGAAAGAGAGGCTAACCAAAGAAAGCATTGTGCTTGTGCTTAGAGGTGGAAGGGAATACAAGGAGATTGGGGTATATGAGGGGTGGAATGTGGACAGCTGGAAAAACTGGTACAGCTTTGTGTGCGAGAGGAGAGCTCTTGTCAGCGACCTATGACCAGGGTGGGACCACAGGTAAGTAGGTTTAAGGGAGGTCTTTTTTATTGGACAGTTCTGGAAATTGTTGGTGTTTATACCACCTGCTGTGGTGCTGTTGGTAAACTAACTTCACTTGGAAGTTTAAGGCTTGATTCATAGTGGGGATATTTATTTTGTTAATCTTCCTGCTGGAAATGGTAATCTTTTCAGCCCATGTTCTTAGTGAGGACCAAGTGCTCTTTTTTAGAATTGGTGTGACTCTGTCTGATGGAGCTTGATGCTACAAAGGGAAAACAATTTGCTTAATTTGAAGTGGAATGTTTTTGGTCATTACTTTTGGGAAAGGTGATGTCTTCCACTGTATGATGGGTGGTTGGGGGATGCTGTGGTGAAGTTTGCTTCTTCTTTCCTATCAAATGTGTGTCATCTTTATCTCTCCTTTTTTTTTTTCATATGTTACCAGTTACACTTCTAATCTTCAGCACTTCTATGATCAAATTGTGTTGCAAGTTCTGTAAAACTCTTGCTAAAACTAAAACAACCGTATGGCTGCGTTATTTGCGGGTTTTTAAAAATACAATCTGATGATTTTTGTGCAGGTTCCTTATCTAAGAGACACCTTTAAGATAAAAGTGTTATACCTTTTTTCCCATAGGTTGTGACCTCAACTGATAGCTCAAGTGATGGGGACGAGAACAAACGGAAAGACAGAAAGAGAAAATCAGGTTTGTCATCTATTTATGAGTTCTAAGTGGGTGTAGTGCTTTTTTATTTTGTGTTTTGTATATGTTAAAACTAAACATCGTGATCCTTTATCTTGTTCTGTTTCTGTGTTATTACTGAAGTTACTGTGCCATCGGTAGTCTAGTGGTAAGGCTTTCAGACTCTCAACCGTATGGTGAAGGTGTTCGACTCCTGTCAGAGGCCTGATGCAATGTCTTTTTGAAAGGCACTATACACGTTTTCCACTTCACCCTATTGGAAATGGGTTCCTGGCTATAGACATTGAAAGATCTTGTCGGTTTGTAAGTGTTTGAGGGCTTAATCTACAGTATTATTCCTGTGAAGCTGACGTTTCTGAGTGTTATAGGGTTTGCTGGGGTAGTATAATTAGAAGCTGTAAAGCTCATAGAGCATGCTGTAGAGCATGGATATGCACTGTATCAATGCAATTATTATACCTGCATGTTTGCCGACAATCGTCTGAAATCCGACAATCGCGACCCGACCCGCGAGGCGGCCGATGCTATCGCTAGGCCCACCTGTATCAGTCAATGTGCGAAGTGCGAGGCCTGGCCGACTGCCAGCGTCCCCCTTTTCTCCCGTCGGCTTTGTCGGCACTTTCGTGTTCGTGCCGACCACCGACTGCCGACGTCGGCGTTTCCGACATAATTGTCGGAACCTGAGTAGAAATGCGAATACGAAAAAGGACGACGACCTAAATTATCTACTTTGTTTCGTGCTCGACCGGCCATTTTGAATTTCGTTTTGTTGACAAATTCAATTGTTCAGATCGTGTGGATTAATTCCAGTCCAACTCACTTAGATTTAGATTCTAGATAAATAGAATCTAGATCTAGATCTAGACATCTAGATCTAGATCTAGACATCTAGATCTAGATCTAGACATCTAGATCTAGACATCTAGATCTAGATTTATATAGAGATCATTATAGACCTCAATGGAGGATTCATATTCCAATTCTATTTTGTCCAACCCTATCATAGGCTGTGCTGTAATATTAATGTTGGTAAAAGGCATTTCATCAGGTGCGTGAATTATTTATTTATTTAGAATCTAGACTCAGCTGAGCCCCTCTGTTCGGAATCGGATGCGGATTTCTAGTTCAAGGCCAAGGCCTATTCCTAGATCCTATTCACTTGTTCTACTAGATCTAGATCTAGATCTAGATTTATTTAGTTTACTAGCTCTAGATCTATATATGGAGGATTCATATTCCAATTCTATTGTGTTACTTATTGTATCAAACCCTATTATTATAGATCTAGCAATATATATGTAGATCTAGATGTAGGCCATTATATTATGCTCCTTGTAAGCCTTGTTTGTTTTGGAGTGTGGTTTTTTAATTTTTAATTTAATTTTTTTTTAAACTTTTGCTGGCCTTTTCACATAAGGCTCGTTGCAGGTTCTTTTTTGGGGTAGACGTAGGGGTAGGGTTAGGTCTCTTCTTTGTTGTGTTTTTTGGGGTGGTCACTCGTTACTCGAAAGTCCTTCCTTATGACTTATGACACCCACAAAAGCTCCTTGGGGGGGGGGGGGGGGGGGGGTTGCGCAAAATTTTCAGACAATCTGGTTGAGGCTCACATGCAGGTCTAAATTATTAATATATTGGAATTCTTGTCATTTGCTTCAGATGAGAATCAAGTTCCGTCGGGCTCAGTACCTCGTCGGCGGAGCACTTCTGTCAGCGTCAAGTGTGATGAGATTGATGGGGGTTCGGGTCCATGGCAGTGTGAGGTGATGGTGGAGACTTCAGCTGCTGGCTCAGCGCTCCGCCCTCAGGATGTGAGTGCCTTGTGGAACGCAGACATTTGTGTGGTGGCCTGGGAAAACCAGGCGGAAGACGCAAATCCCCAAGGCTAGCTACAGCTCCATAAACACAAAATATTGATTTTTTATCGAATTTGAGATTATGGCCAAATCTTTTTATTTATCCATTTTTCTAACTAAAAATTGTAATGATAATGCCTAAAACAGTTGGAAAATCTGTTTTTGAAGCCAATATCTAAGGTACCCTATGACGCTCGCAATCGGAAAAATCATCGAAAATTGCCTTTGAAGAATGAAAAATTGACAAATTTCAGCCGGCTGTGGAAGGTTTCCGTCTAAAAATAGACCCCCTATATTTGGTATGGTTTTAAAGCTTGTTTTCTCTACTTTCCAACACTGAAGAGTGCGCAGAAGTAATATATTCGGGTATTTAGTGCGCATCCAATCAGCGAGCACGGTACAAAATTCAGTCTTCCGTTTTCTTTGTCCTACTTGCGCGAGGGAAGCTACAGCCTCACAAGTCACGCAGTTCGTCATTTTCGCTTCGAGCATACAGCTGAATCTGTTCCCTGTCGAAATTTTATTGTTTGGACTTCATTGGCATTGTTTTGAAAAGAAATTCAAGATATTCCGTCGACCACTACAAGTCGAGACGAGTGATCATGGCGACGTCAAGCGAGGAAATCGCCAAGCTACTGAACAGCTGTTCGCGGACCGTTGTTGACAATGTTGGTAACGACTCCATTCAGGATTTTCTTGATTATTTCGGCTCAAGAAGCGAGGCTGATTTGATTCAGATTCTACAGAGTCTTCTGATGCAGGTTAGTATCTAATGTTACAATTAGATTTGCTAGTATATTTGTTATAAAGTGAATAATGACATTACCTACGGATGTAAACATTGCTGCTGAACAGCTGATGACCGTTTGTGTTGTCGTCTGTCTTGATCTAGATCTATACACACACAAAACAACCGAACAAGGACACAAACAACCACCAACCCAACCGCCTGCAAAGGTTGTGATGTGATGAAAAGTGATAAAGAGAAACAGATTCTAGACGAATTTGTCTACATTTTAGTTTGTCATTTCTCCTTACCGTAATCCCTAGATCTAGATCTAGAAATCTAGATCTACCCTTTGTACTATGTCTAGAATTCTAGATTTAGATCTAGATTCTAGATCTAACCTCTCCCTCTTTGTTCTAACCACTACAAAACTGTTTTTAAAACATAGATCTAGATCTAGATCTAAGTCTGGTTCAAGATTTAAATTCTAGGTCTAGATTCTAGATCTAGGAACTGCAGTCAGTCTATCTAATCTAGATCTAGATTTAGGCTGTTTCGGTGAGGACTGCTTGTGTAGATCTAGATCTAGATTTAGGTTTCAGTGAGGACTACTCCTGTGTATTGATCAACAATATAGGTCTAGATCTATACAAATTGTAAATTGTTCTAGTTTTACGTCTCTTGACACTAAAATCATTCAGGAGGCAGCACGGCCCACCCGGGTTGAGAGGGATACAACGTGCCAGCAGAAAGACGAATACTCGATTTATAATAAAACTCGCCCCACGCGAGCATCAAACTCACATTTTCTGCATGCGACAGCGAAATGCTTTACTGCTACACCACAGACGCAGATTATAATTATTATATATATATAT